TATATATATTTATGTGTTTTGTGGATTTTGTTGTTTGATGAAGAATTGATTGATGAAGATGAAGATGAAGAATTGATCGACAAACATGGCAAGGAAAGGAACAGAAAGGTGAAAGAGAAAGTGGAGGAAAAAAGAGAAATTTTTAAATTTTTATTGCCAAATCATTATTTTTTTGCCATGTTGTATTTCCACATAGGTTTAATATTTTGACAGATCACTATACTTCCGTTAGTTAACAGTACACGTCATGCAATTTTTAACGGAGGGACCAAGTTGTAGTTAAAATGATAAATAGTAAGGACCAAGTTAGGGATTTTTTGAGTTGAGAAATTCAATCGGGGATCCGTACAATAGTTGAGGGACCAAAAAGGGGGTTTAACCTTAAAAATTTAATAAAAAAAATTCAACTTTTTAATTTGATTAATGACTTTTAAAATTCAGTGACAAAAATTTTATTAACCAGTAATTCAACCGAAGCCGACCCCTAATGCATATGAGCCTGGATCCAGGCCTAGGGGCCGAGCAATAGCAAAATGCATATATTAATTGGGTCAGAAAAAAAAAAAAAAAAAAGAAAAGAAGAAGAAGACAAATGGACCGATATTAAACAGAGAAAATTAGCCCAAGCCCAAATTCCCAGGTTAGATGAAATTTCTTTTAACCCAGGCCCAGCCTTAAAATAACACATTCAAAAACAAACCCAAGATCACCAAGCCCAAAACCCACATATTCCAACTCTCCCTCACCCTCGCAAGAGGAAAAAGGTGCAATTATTACATACATAAACTTTTGATTATTTAAAACTTCCAAAGAAAAACGTGGCACCTCAGTGATAGATGTGGAGCATGTTAGTGACTGATGATAATGGGGGCAAATGCACTTTAATTGTTATTTGTTAGCCAGCACACATCAAATTGTTGACTTCCTCTATATTTTCCCTTCATCAAATTGCATGTGTTAAGATTTTGGGTGCACATGCATGCATGTGAGTGGACCCTAACCACTCTCGTTTCTTTTCAATTACTTATCTTTAAAAAAAAAAAAAA